ACTGTGGCTGTTGCTGCAGCCGCGATGTTCCCTCCTGCCTCTGCATCCCCGCGCTGCTGCCAGACCGTGACAGGTCCCCCCGGAGCCGGCGGGAGCTCCATGAGCAGCTTCCCCCTGCCCCGGTCACGGGTGGGACGGGCCCCCCCGGTGTCCCGTGGGTGCCCCGGGGTGCCCCCCCGCCCTCCTCGCTGCTGACCCACACGTCTGACCGGGTGTCCCCAAATCGGGGCAGGTTTAAACCCGCGGCTCCCTCGCGTGGAGGGAGCGCGGGGGCCGTTCCTGACAGAGAGGGTGGGTGCGGGTCCCCCAGCCCGTCCGAGGCGGAGCGGGGAGCGCCGCTGGGACCTTCCACACCCCTCCCGAGCAGCGGGGACAGCAGGAGGAGCTGCGGCGATAGAGGTGGAGCAGGGCGCCCTCCGGGCGCTTTGCCCCCCTTGCTCTCCCTTTCTTACCCTGTCGCTCCCTTGCCTTGCCTTGTCCACCCCTCCCATGCCTTGCCTCGCCTTTCCTATCCCTCCCTTGCCTTTCCTATCCCTCCCTTGCCTTGCCTCCCTTGCCTTGCCCCCCTTGCCTTGCCCCCCTTGCTCTGCCTACCCCTCCCTTGCCCCTTGTGCCGGTGGGAGCTCCCCGAGGGGTTCTGTGGAGCCCTTGAGGCCGGGACCCCTGGATGGTGTTTTTCTTCTATTCTGTTTTTTAAATTGTATTACTAGATATGTGATGTTTATTTAAATAAAGGTTGTAGGGCTGGGGTTGAAATGCCATCTGTTGGGGCCAGGGGGGACATAAAGGCTGGAATGGGCACTCTGGGACTGCAGCCAGAGCCAAACCCACGTGGAGCTGAAATGGAAATCCTTGGGCTGGAGCTGAAACAAATCCCGTGGGGAAGGGGATGGAGCTGTAGCTCGGGGGCTGCAGGAGCTGCCTGGGGTGTTCCAGCCCCCCCAGTGCTACCAGGGGGCTCAGGGCTCACCCTGGGGCTCTGAACCAGCACTAGGGCACCTTTGGGATGGGGGCCTGGGGGCTCAGTGGCTGTTCCCAGCCCCTGGTGCCAGCTGGGGGGGCTGTTGGCAGGTGGGGTGTGAGACCCGGGGCAGGGGGAAGGTGTGTGTTGCAGGTCAGGTCTCATTTCCCCCAAAGCTGGGGCCCCATTGGGACAGTGGAAAGCTGGAAAGCTGCCCTGTTGGAAAAGGCCCTGGAGGTGCTGGTTGACAGTGGCTGAACATGAGCCCAGGTGGGCCAGAAGGCCAAGGGCACCTGGTTTGTGGCAGCAGGACCAGGGCAGTGACTGTCCCCCTGTGCTCAGCAACACAAAATATGAGGCCGTATGGTGACTTCATTGCCCAGTGGGCTGATTAACTGTCTGCAAACACTTAAACATGAGGAAGTGTGGGTGATAATCTGTGTTTTAACATCACAACAAGGCACACGGAGCTTCCTCTTCATAAACTGCCAAATATAAGCACATTGTGTGGTCTTCAACCTGGAAAATTGCCAAAATTAAAATTAAATAATGTCCTTATTAAAATACTGATAACACCAGGCACTAATTCTTACCTGGCTTAAATGAAGACAAATGATATCTCTATAGTTGAAGTTTGATGTTTATTCAATATTTCCCCCAGAAATAATTTATATTGGGTACTTAAAGCTTAAATGTCTTCTTGTGATCCTTTTGAGTACATACCTTAAGTCTTTACTCATCATAATTATGAGACGGTGGAACTAATTAAAAAGAGAGCAGTACTGCCACAATGGAGGTAATTTAGACTTTAGTTTAAAGCAGTAAAAATATGCTTAGAACTCCTTGATGTAATCTTGCATCACTAGCAGGAATCCTGTAAATTACCAAAGGAAAACAGCCCATTTGTGCTGGTGATTCAGTGGTTGAAGAGTTGCAAAGTTCTAATTCCTGCACTAATGATGCAGCTGAAGCTCTTTGGTGACCTGGGGGTGCTGGTTCTGGGAAACTTCAGAACTATCTCCAAGAAATTAGATGAAGAGAAGAGCAGCATGTACTATTACTGATACTCGGAATTTTAGCTGTTCATTCAAAAATCATATCAATTATTCGTGCTCCAGAGTGCGTGTGCTTCAAATTGTCAGGGAACTGATTTCCTCCACCCCCAGGCTTTCTGAGTTAGTAGTGGGTGACAGGAAAATTTAAATGTATTATCCGAGTGTGTGTGAAGTCATTTGAGAAACTGAAACTATGGACACTTCTGCACCCTGTGTTATGAGAGAGGTGTGAAATTATTGGAGGGTATTTGATAATTGCTGCACAGTGTGTTCTTGTTTTTTCAATAGCTGGGAGGAAAGTGAGGGGAAAGTAGAATCATCACGTAATATTTCACTTGATTTTTTTATGAAGGGTTCTCATAAGCTGAAAATTATTGATCAGTCACAACAGAAACCTCCTTCTCTGGTGTGAATAAAGACCTGCATCAGACAAATTACAGGGATTTTTTTTTTTAAGGATTTGCCCTTTGCTTCAGGAGCAGCACAGAGAGAAACCTTGTGGATTTATCCCCTGAAAGTCTTCCACATACAAAAAAATCTGGATAGAAGTCAAGTTATCTGTTTTGTTATCTTAGGTAACAGTTATCTGTTTTGTTATCTGTTTTGTTATCAGTTATCTGTTTTGTTATCTTGAGCTGGACCTGCTGAGATCTTAATCTAATTCCAGCAATGGAGTGTTTTCATCAGGTGTGATGAGCTTGTTTAATAGTCTTTTGATCTGCATTTTACAGATCTGAGAACCCAGGTAGCAGCCCCAGACTGCTCTGAGGAAGCCATCTGAGTTGGTTTTTCTCTCTTTTTTGAGGAAACTGTCAGAAGGCCTGAAGGATACCCCTTATATTGTGAAGAGATTTAGCTAATTATTGCCCTAGGAAGGTAAAATTCAAGCCAAGGAGAAATATTATGCCCCTTCTCCAGGATTTCATTATTCAGGCCAGAAGAAGAGAATCCTGGTCATCAGCCCAGCACCAAAAATTACACCTGCCACTGCATTCCTCCTTCAAGCACAAATCAAGCGAACCCAAATCCAGATCTCTCATTCTTCAGGGCCAACACGAGACAATTATGAGAGCTGTAGAATTACAAGATGGCTCATGCCTTTCTATGTGGAGTATAAGGAGTATAAGCTTTCTTTATCCTTATCCTTACACTTTCCTTATCCTTATCCTCTTGTGAACCAGTAAAAAGCTGCCCCACTCTCTCCCAGGCAGCTCTGAACAGGGAGTGCAGCTGCACAGAAGAAATATGATTTAATGAGGGTCTAGGAACAGACTGCAGTGCTGAAACAAGCTGCCAAGGCAGGCAAGAATATCTACCACTGCCTACACACCACCAAAACCTTTCCTCTCCTCTCTGTTTTCCCATGCTTGTCCCTCCTCTGGTCCCTCCCTTTCCCTTTCCTATGTCTCTTCCCCTAAACATCCCATATGATGTTTCATACAGTCCCTGGGTTCTGCTCTGCACCATCCCCATGTTCTCCCCCCTCACTCTAAGTCTCATGTCTCATTGCCCTAAAGCTTTATGACATTTCCAGGAGAAAGTTGCCTTCAGTACATCACCTTGGTGGGCTTGGATGAGCAGGAAGAGGAGCGGGAAGAGTTTGTGTTGGGGTTGCTGCCTCTTGTCTGATCAGTTATTGGAAGTGAAATGTGTGTTGAACTAACAACAAGGAGACATGTTCAGCACAGTGTTACAAGTCACTATGAGCTTGTTCCTGGTAGGGGAGAGATCACTCCTAGGAAATAGGAAAAAAAAGGCAGCATCACTTGGTCTGGGCAAAGCAGGGGTAAAGGTGAGATGTGTGACCCCTGAGACATGTCTGAACACAGGGAGCCGTGAGCCTCCCTTGCTCCTGCCGTGTTGGGAAGGTTTGGGTTGGGCAAATAATGTCCCAAGGACACAGTGCTAAAATGGGGTCTTAGAAATCCTACTAACTCTGGACAGATGCAGAAGGAAAATCCTGTAGCCAAAAAAAACAACTGCCAACAGAAGAGACAGATGTTATTCTGGAGAGCTACAAAGCTGGATTATGGAGCTGGTGCCAGTGGATTTGAGCAAGGTTAAAATGCCTGTAGGAGAGGAGGGTGTCTCACAAAATCAGGGACGGGGTAGCCCCTGGAGTGCATGAATAAGGCCAAGCAAAGAGGCAATGTCTCACTGGAAGAGAGGGAACAAGCATGGAAAAGTAATTTTACACTTCCAAAAACTGCAAACTATGTGGATGAATGTGCGTGGAAAGGATCAGGGCAGCTGAGGTGGCCTGGGAGGCTCAAGGACATGGGACGTATGCAGGACTACAAACCTGGCTCTGAAGAAGGAAAGATTAAGAGGCCATGACTGGACAAGCCACACAGAGCAATCCATCTCGGAATATTTCATCAGGCACCTGTAGCTTGGAAGGACTTTGCCCCTAGCAGACCATGAGGGGCTCTGTGGGGGAATTGAGGTGTACAATGAATGTCTCCAGAGCTTCTGTCCCTGAGTACTGAATATTATCCAGGATTATCTGCTTAGAGTAGCTTGGAAAAAAGTCTCAAACTGGAGATGCAAAGCTCTTGGTCCCTGGTGAGAAGGGGAAGGTGACCAGCATGGACATTTGGGTGCCTTCAGCGCTGAGTGACGGAGGCTGGGCACAGGTGGAGGGGAATGGGCAGACCTGGGCTCGCAAGGAGGGCAAAAAACGTGGGACAGGTGTGGGTGGAATGAGGGTGATCTGTGCGGTCAGGGAGGGGAATGGAAGAACCCTAAGAGTGGGTGGAGAGGAATGGGATGAACCCGAGGGCACAAGGGGTTGACTCGGCCCCTCTGCCGCACTCAGGACCCTCCCTTCCAGCCCCAAAAGCCCCTTCTCTCCCCAGGGTCTCATTTTCTGCCCCGACACATCCGAAAGGCCCCGGACACCCCCGCGCCTTCCCCAGCTCGCCCGGGCGAACCCCCCGAGCCCCCCCGTCTCTCTCCAGCCTCCGCCCCGGTCCCGCCCCGGTCCCGCCTCTGCCGCCGCAGCCGCCGCGGGTCCGGGCCTGGGCAGGCGGCGGCGGGGCCATGCTGGGCAAGGACTACATGCTGGCCATCGTCCTGGTCAACTGCGACGGTCAGCGCGGGGCCGGGGGGGCACGGGCAGGGGCACAGCCCGCGGGGCCAGCGCCGCGCTCGGGGCCGCGGCCGCGCTGTGGGACCGCGTTGCGGGATCGATGCCGGGTTGCGGGGCCGGCGCTGAGTGGCGGGGCCGGGTTGCGGGTTTCGGGCCCGGGGCCGGGCGGGCCCCGCGGGTCGGAGCGGCGGCCGCGCCCGGCGCTGTCCGCGGTGCTGATCGGGGCCCGCCCGGCCCCGCCAAGGTCGCGGGAACCCCCCCCCCCCCCCCCCCGGACACCTCCACCCCCGTGTCCCTCCATCCCCGGAGCACCCCGCCCTCCCACTCCCGGGAGCCCCCATCCCCCGGGCCCCCCCATGTCCCGGGACCTCTCATCCCCCGGGACCCCCATCCCCCGGGACCCCCCGGCCGGTCGGGACGCGCCGCCCCCGCGGGCCCGGGCTGGCTCCGGCCGTGCTGCGCCACGGGATCGTGCCCGTGCCCGCGCGGGGCTGGGGGTGCGGCTGCAGCTCCCCGGGGCACCACCCTCGGCCCGCACCCCGGGTCTGTGCCGGCCCTTTCCCGGGTAGGGCTGGCGGCCGTGGGCCCTACCCGGACGCCCCGCAGGATGCCCGGCCCGGCAGGCCCGGGATGCCCCCGCCCTCTGTGCCCCGCCGGGGTCCCGCTGTCCCCCTGCCAGCCAGGCAGGTCCCCGCAGCGGGGTCCGCCACCGCCGCAGCCTGGCTGGCACCGTGCCATGTTCCCTCGCCATGCTCCTCTCCCGGGCCGTGGGCCCAGCCACGCACCCAGAGGCCATTGCAGGACCCTTTTGCTGCTGGGCAAAGCATCCCGCAGCTGGAGTGCTTTCCCTCCCCACTCTCTGCCTCTCACACTCTGTCTGCCTCTGCACAGACAATCTCTGGAGCGACCAGAGCCTGGAGACAGACCCTGACCTCCCCCCAGGCTGGAGGAAAATCTGTGACTCTCTGGGCACCTACTACTGGCATGTGCCGACGGGCACGACGCAATGGCAGCACCCTGCACGCACCACCAGCCCAGGAGGGCACCCGGAGGCTGATGGAGAGGAGACACTACAGGGAAGGGTAGGGGATGTGGGTACAGGAGGTGGTGGCTGGTGTTGGATCCCACCCTTGGCACAAGCCTGCTGAAGGGCCCTCTGGGCCAGCCTCCCCTTGGAGCAGGCCTGTCTCTGTCATCCCAAAGTCCTGCTCAGCCCATTTCTGGCCAGGACTAAGCCCTTTGAAAGGCTCCTGCAGGTTCCGTGTTGATTTTAGCCTCATCCTGGCCACACAGGATGCACACAGGCCCGTTGCTGTCCTGGGAGGGAGGGTTCCTACCTGCTGCCTCCTGACAGCCTGTCTTGTTTCCCTCCCTTTCCTCTTGTCTCCCAGGAATGCCAGGCCCCCAGAGCGAAGCACTCGGCAAAGGATAGGCCCATTCCCAGCCCCATGGCTTCACTGACCAGGAGGTAGGGCTACCATGGTGCTCTGCTGGCTTGTTTACGGGGCACCACTGGGTGCTTGGCCCCAGTGCCCTCCCAGAGCAGCCTCCTGTGCTGGAACCAGCAGGACCACTCCTATGGGATGCTTCCCAGCTGGTGGCATGGGGGTACGGTGGTGCCAGGGCATTCCTGGCGCTTCCCTGGGTGCCCCAGGGATCATGCAGAGGGAGTTGCCCCTCACTGCCCCGTCCCTCTGCAGGCCCTCGCTGTCCTGGCATGGAGAGGACATCCAGCACAGCGCAGAGCCCGGCTCCAAGGTACCGCATCCCGCCGGCTCCGCTGCCGCATCGTGGGCTGGGGCTGGCAAGGGAGGAGGCGAGTGGCAGCTGGCAGGGACATGGATGGGTGGGAGCCAGAGCAGGGGTGACCCCGCTGGCACGGTGAGGGGCGCGGGGAGGAGGTGGCTGTGCCAGCGGGCACCGGAGCCCCAACGTGTCTCTGCTCAGTGCTTTGCCGTGCGCTCGCTGGGCTGGGTGGAGATCCCCGAGGAGGACCTGGCACCGGGCAAGAGCAGCATTGCCGTCAACAACTGCATCCAGCAGCTCTCCAACAGCAAGGGCCAGGGCTCTGCAGAGAACCGCGGTGAGGTGAGAGCCTGGGATGGGGCTGCCAGGCAGGGTCCCACTCCAGGGCTGCTGCTGCTGAGGCTGGATCGTGCTGGGAGGGAGCAGGGACCAGTGCCAGAGGCAGAGTCTACTCTCCACACAGGGTATCCATGTGATGGTTCCAGGTGTGGGGCAGGTAGGTCTCACAGGGGTGTTCCTTGGGGACAGTGCCAGGAGTGCCTGGTGGGTCCCCACACATGGGAATGGTACCTGGGAAGGGCAGGGGTGGGAATCAGGGCTGTTCCCATGCTTGGAGCTGATTAGGCTGGGGGGACAGGGGTGTCCCAACCCATGGGCTGGGTTCTGGGGAAGCCCAGGCTGTCTGCCGGGCTGAGGGAGCCACTGCCCCTCCACAGGGCCAGGACCTGGTGATGATCCTGAAGAAGGACACCATGAGCCTGGTGGACCCCCTCGACCGCAGCCTCATCCACCGCCAGCCCATCCTCAACATCCGTGTCTGGGGCGTTGGCTGCAACAACGGCAGGTGCTGGGGCCAGGGCAGAGCTGGGGGCTGGGGGTGGCTCTGCCCACTTGGGGGGAAGGCACCCCAGCAGTGACCTGTCCCCTCTCCTCCCTCCCCGACTGCCACCGTGGCTGCAGGGACAGGTAAGGGGGCACAGGGCTAGGGGGCAGCGCAGGGAAGGGGCTCTGTCAGGGTCTCACTGGCTTGCTCATGGCCGTGCAGAGACTTCGCCTTCGTGGCCAGTGACAAGGACACCTGCGTCCTCAAGTGTCACGTCTTCCACTGCAACGTGCCCGCCAAGGGCATCGCCAAGGCCCTGCATGAGATGTGCTCCAAGGTGGGATTTAAAGGGGCCCTGCTGGGTGTGAGCACAGCCCAGGGGTCTTGGGGGTGAAGGGAGGCACCAGGACCCCCGTCTGTTGCAGATCGTGGCCGAGCGAGCCGTGGCCAGCAGCCGCCTGCCCCGCGCTGCCACGCTGGAGCCCATCTCCACCGAGGACCTGCCACTGCAAGGTACCGTCCCCGGGTGCTCCCCCTGCCCACAGCCCACCCTCGGGCAGCGGGGGTGTCCAGCAGCCAGATCTTGGGGTCCTTGGGGATGGGGGGGACACAGCGGGGCACACAGAGGTACCCCCACCTCTTCCGTACTGGTAGTGGATATCCTGGAGGCGGTGAGGCAGTCGATGCAGACCTACGAGGCGCTGTACATCGGCAGCCTGCCCGTGCCCAGGGCCATGGGTAAGCGCCGCTGCCCCCACCCCCGCAGCTGGGGGACGCCCAGCAAGCCCCTCCTTGCTCCGTGGGGCGGCCGAGCAGCCGCGTCCCGGGGCCGGTGGGATGGGGTGGGACGGGGTGTCCCGCTCCGCAGGGATGGACGTGTTGAACGAGGCCATCGAGAAGCTGACGAGGCGCCCCGGGCGGGAGAGCTGGACGCCCTCCCTCATCTACGTGTCGGACACGGCCATGAGGGTTCAGCCGGCGCAGGTTGGGGGGCACGGGGGGCTCCGGCCGGGGTGCCCCCGGCGGGGCGGGCCCGGGGGGCGGCCAGGGCTGGACGGGCCCGCGGGGTGCCCGCAGGAGCCCGAGGAGGCGGCGAACATCTGGGAGTGCCAGGTGCGGTACGTGACCTTCCTGGGGGTGGGCCGGGACGCGCACACCTTCGCGCTCATCGTGGACACGGGGCGACGCTTCCAGTGCGCGGCCTTCTGGTGCGAGCCCGACGCCGGCACCATCTCGGAGGCGGTGCAGGCCGCCTGCATGGTGAGCCCCGGGCGGCGGGCGGGGGTGGCCCCGGCGCCGCGCCCCCCGCGCTGCCCGCCCTGTCCCCCCGCAGGTGCAGTACC